ATGTCCTCTGTAAGAGCAACCAGTGCTCTTAACCTCTGACCTATCTCTCCTGTTGCCCTCCTATATTCAAAAAGTCATCCCTAGATTATATCTAATATAATATAAATGTTATATAAAGAGTAATTGTACTATTCTGGTAATAATGACAAAAAGTCTGTACATGTCCAATACAGTATTTTATTTAATGTTTTATTTATTTTCTTTTTAAAACAATGATTTTTTTTTGTGTGTTTGTGTGTGAGTGCAGGTGTACACATGCTATGCCACACATGTGTAGGTCAGAGGACAACTTGGGAGCTGGTTTTCTCCTGCTGGGGAGAGATCTAAGAATATAGCTCAGGCCTATGCAAGAGTAACTCTACCTGCTGAACCATCTCACTAAGGTTTTAATTAATTCATTAATTAATTAACTAATTTTGTTGTGTGTTTAAGTGCATTCATATGTACGTGCCACAACATTCACATGGAGGTCAGAGGACAGTTTGTTGAGAGTCTGTTTTCTTCCACCATGTAGATCCTGCGGACTGAGTTAGGTTGTCAGGCTTTGTCAGCAAGCACCCTTACCAACTGGACCATCTCCCAGGCTCATGTTCAGTACAACATTTTAAATAAAATATAAATGTTGATAGCTTTATTCCAAGGCTTTACCTCTAGGCATGTTTTCAGAGGGGGTATATGACAGAAACATTGGTAAAGCTTACTTGTTAGAAAGGAAAACTCTATTTCAAGTCATTTTATAGCTGGTTAACAACCTTAGTTTTCTCTACTACTCACCATTATAGGGATGGTAGGCAGGCTTCCATTAAAATTGTTCAAAGTAAATTGATTAGAAAGTTGTTCCAAGCCAGTTGTAGTGGTACACGTCTTTAATCCCAGCAGAGACAGGTAGAGCTCTGTAAGTTCGAAGGCAGCATGGCCTACACAGTTCTAGGTCCACCAGTGCTACATAGTGAGACCTTGTCTCAAAAAGCCAAACAACAACAAAAGGAAACCCCAAGAACTCCCCAACTGACCCCCTCAAAAAAAGTTGTCTAAGTTCATCATGGATGGAGGAAAGTCTCATGAAGCCCCACCTCTCCCTGAGATTCTGGGGGATGGAGTCATTTTCTTAATTGGTACAGCTACTGATAACTTGCCTAGGCTCCAGTAAATAATACCCCATCCATGTTCGTGCAAGAAATCCTAACTAAATTCAGTAACCTGTTTTTGTTGCTTTACAAAAGAAACCAAAATAAGAGAGTGACTTGTTGGGAAGAAGGGGTTCAGCAGGAGTGGGAGGGGGATGAGAGGATAATGGGGGTGAAAATGATAACACATTCTATGCATGTATGAATTTGTTAGAGAATTAAAAAAAAAGGTTGTCCAAAAAAGTCTAAGAATTTGTTTTTATCAGGGGTTGGAGAGATGGTTCCGTGGTTAAGAGCACTGACTGCTCTTGCAGAGGACCTGGGTTCAATTCCCAGCACCCACATGGTGGCTACAAACCATCCTAAACTCCAGTTCCAGGGGAATCCAATGCCCTCTTCTGACCTCTGTGGCATTGCACGACACGGGTGCACTAACATACATGCAGCCAATATACTCATACACATAAAATAAAAATAATAAATAAACAAAAATTAAAAAAAGTTTGTTTTTGTCAAAAACCTCAGCTCTCCAGTTTGAATTTCTCCAAGATCAAATAAAAGTTGGAGGGATTCCATGGACAGGGTATTTTTGCAAAAACATTTGTTTTGAGGTCCAAATTGAACTTAAAAGTTATGCTACTAGCTGGGCGTGGTGGTGCATGCCTTTAATCCCAGCACTCAGGAGGCAGAGGCAGGTGGATCTTTGTGAGTTTGAGGCCAGCCTGGTCTCCATAGTAAATCCAGGACAGCTGGGGCTACAGGGAGACCCTGTCTCAAAAAAGACCGAAAAAAAAAAAGTTATGCTACTAATAATGATAAATCTAACTTGTGACTGTCTAGTTATAGCAATAGAATTCCATGAATGGAGAGAAGGGAGCATGACCTTTTCATTGTTTGTCATGAGGAGGTTACTACTTATGTAGTACTCATGGTAAAGAAAGAGAGCAAGGAAATAAATGGTGTTTGTGATTTTGACTCTTATGCGCATGTGTGCATGTGAATAAGTAAGCCAGGTAAACTCTGTATACTGTGAGGCTGGCTGACGGTCAAGTCAGAGCCCTGGCGTCTTGCTCAGTGACAAGCCAGGGCTCCCTTTATTTAATAGGCTTCATTAGTTTAACTGGGACAGGGCCTTGTTGCTCCCTGTTTACCTCACACAAGTCTAGTGAGATTTAATGAGTTGTACTTACACAAAGCTACTCGTAGCTGACATTTAAAGGTCTAAATTCAGCCTGTACCTGCCTTCCCACAGTGACTCCTCAGAGAGAACAAAAGATAGGTCCTTCCCCCTCCTCACCTGGGGGTGGTGGTGGCTCATGGTCAGTGTTCCCTCTGTGGGCCAGCAGACTGGAGGCCTTCCTAACATTTATTTACCTTGTGTCTGCTCTTACTGGTCTATCCTATAGCCCCTAACTGTATTTTGGACGGAGTAGTGAGTACAGGGATAGGGTTAAAGAAGAGAATACTCTTGTACAAACCATGATACCACATTTCCTCATACTTTCCTTTGTAGTGTCATAGAAACTTAATACGTGTTCTTGTAATGGCTCTCAGCCCTTCCTGCTACACTGCTAGATTATTATGAGTAAATGATGGCTCCTTATATGAACGCTGTAACACAATAGAAATATAAGTCATATTCATAATTTTAGGTTTTCTAGTAACTATGTATATGAACCAGCTAAAGTTAAGTTTATTGATTTATTTTTTTGAAGATCTATTTTATTACTTATTTTTGTGTATGTGTGTGTTTGTGTATGTGCATGCCGGTACCCAGGGAAGCTGGAAGGAGTGTTGGATCCCTTGGAGCTGGAATCATAGGCATTTAATCACCCTCGTGGGTGCTAGTAACTGAACTCCAGTCCTCTGGAAAAACACAGTAAGTGTTCTTAATTGCTGAGCCGTCTCTCCAGCCCTATTGATTTTCTTTTTTTGAGATGGGTCTTACTCTGTAGCCATGGGTAGCCTTAAGTTGGAGATCTTTCTTGTTAGGCTTTGGGGCACAGAATACAGGAATAGGAAAGAAAGAGACCATACCAGACCTGAGATGGGACTGCATTTTATTCGAAGGGCACAGTGAGGGACAGCAGCCTTCCTGCATAATGGAAGCAACTGTACTGTGAATCTGGAGAGTTAGAGATCATATAGGGGCTAGGGCATGAGGAAGTGGATGCAGCTGCAGGGTACTATGTGTCTCATCTTTCAGGGGCCCCTTGCTCAAGCAGGATAGGCTATCTTGAGCAACAGCCTGTTTCCAGCAGTTCCCTCTGAGTTCCGGAGTGGCCAATCCCAGTGTGATTAATCGATAAGGTTTGTAGCAGTCAGATAAGATCTGCAGCAGTCTCAGAGGCAGCTAAGATCAGCAGCAATTCCTGGTTTTCTGGAATGGGGCATTCTATCAGTTCTACCTGGCCTTCTTGAAGTGATGGGTTTAAAGGCATGTGCTATACACCTAGCTAAAGTTTATTTGCTTATTTGTTAACATATTTATATTTACTTTTTGAAATAGGGACGTATGTATCCCAGGTTGGCCTCTCCTGTGAATAGCATCCAGATGTTCCCAGTTGTTTGTTTTTTCCATTATACTAGGTTCCCTTTCTAAGGAGTACCCTATACAAAGGATAAGAATGTGAAGGAGCCTTCCCTTTTTAGTTAGGCATGGATTCTCTTGTTGATTGCAAAGTATTCTAGCCTGGTTTTAGCAGGGAGGGATTTGATATAGAGGGTTAGGTGCTTAGTATATCAAGGAAGGGCAGGCTGTGGGTTGACTTTTTAGGAATGACTCAGAATAAAATTGTGGAGGTGGCCAGTCAAAGAAACTGTGTTTGCTGTAATGGGCAAGTTGAGCAGCCAAGCAGCCTCTCCTTACATAGCTGTCAGTTTCAGGACCTGTAATCTATTTGGTGGCTAGTTGGTGTGGTCTTTGACTCTTCACTCTTGAAGCTGAGGATGAAAGACAGGACTTCAGTGTCAGAAGCTCAGCCCCACCCACAGAATTTACTCTAGCTTTAAAATTCCTCCTAGCTGCTTTTGACTAGAGGCCCTGTCCCTCAGTGCAGTAAGGGAGTTTTTTTTGAAGGTACTAGTCTCTAGTAATCGCCCAGGTGGCTAGCATATTGGTATGAAAATCAGACCCTAGGGCTATTTGTTTTACTGGGAGGATTTAAGAGATTGCAAGTTCTGTGAGCTAAGATAGTAGGTACCATATAATGAAAGCTCTGTTTTCTTCTCTGAGGTGTATTTTGCAGGTCATTGTCTCCTGGAAAGATAAGAACTAATGTTAATAATCCTTGATCAAATTTGATTATATAATGTTTTAGAAGATCTGAGTTTTTCTCCACAAGTTCAACATACCAGTGTTGTTCAAATATTCAAGTTAGTCTTCCAGCCTGATTTATGATGTTTTCATGTGACTGAATGTTCAGGCCTTCAATTAAAGGGAGGAAATATTAGTTGAAGATTTTTCCTACTGCTGTGTTTTTTTTTTCTTTTCCCTTAGGATTATTAACTAATCAAACATGGTGATAAATCATTACAAAGAACAATATGCAGTTCTGGAGGGGACCGATAAAAGGAGGTATTTCTTAGGACTGCTTTGTGAGAAGTTATAATAGACATGTTGTAGAACTCATTCTGGATTGAATATGAACTACTCCATACCATAGCAACTCCGCTTCTTCAGAGTGACATAAATATAGTCATCCCTCAGTGTCTTCAGGGGATTGGTTCCAATACTCCTCACAGATAGGAAAATCTAAGGATGCCACAGTCTCTTATTTAAATGGCATAACCTTTCCATGTAACGCATATATACACTCCCCTTCATGATTACTACGTGATGGAATATAAATGCTATCTAGTTTTTTTTTTCCACGTCAGACAGGTAATAAACATGTGTAACAAGGTTTGAGGGTGGCACATGTCACGCAGCCCTGTGAACACCCAATGATCATGCTTATGAACCAGAAAAGGATCATAAATGCTATATAGTTTTAATATTGTATGCCTAAGGAATAATGAAAAACAAGTAACAGAAGTCTGTATATGCTTAGTGTAGATACTTGAAAATTCAGCCTGCAGCTGATTGAATGCACAGATATGGAACCTATGTTGACTGTAATTTAAAAGTCTAGACCCTAGGATCGGTTCAGTTAAACACTTTCTTCCTTCTTTGGCTGTACTTTAAATCTTCAGCTTGTCTCATTTTGATTAGTGTAAAGCAATAAGTCTTTTAGTGTGGTCTCAGGATGAGCATCAATGTTTTCACCTAGGAACTGGTTGGAAATATAAATGATCATGCCTTACCTTGAACCTGTTGTACCAGAGAGCCTGGGCATAGTGCCCAGCACTCAGCAGTCTGCTTTGTTTGATTAAGTACTCTGACTTTAATAATTGATATAAAGATTCAGTATTCTTGTTTCAGAGAATACTAGATACTACCTATTCTATTCCAGTCTGTTCTGTCATCCAAAAACAAACAAATAAAAATGCAACACTGTTTTATCATTGGAAAAATCTCTGAAACACATTTTTTCATCTGTAATTTGGAAAATTTAGTTTTAGCACTGAGGATTAAGTGAGATGAATGGCTTTTGTTTTGATTAATAGATATGAAACTAGTTCAGTAATTACCATTAGTATTATTATAGCTCAATTTTGCAAAAAATCATTTGAAAGTATCAGCTTCATTCCATGTTACCAAGAGCAAACTTCAGCTTGCTATTGCTTTTTTTCCAGTTAATTATTTATTTAATAACCACATTCATTACATTACATTTCATTACAACAGCATTGACATATTCAATAACAGTTTTCTGAGCTAAGATGCATCTTTTTCAAAATTGGCTGTAAATTTTTAGTTTTTCAGTTGAATTGTTGGTTATATAATATTGTACTCATTATAAACCCTATAAGACATAAAATTGAATGAGGTTTTAACCTTTAAAAAAGATCTCCATTTCATTATTAAAATACACAGTTTCATATAGAAAAAATCATTTTCAATGCAATTGACATTAAGATGTTTGCACATGTGTTTCTAATCTCTATATATCTGATTATTACTAGTGACGGTTACTTTCTGAGTTGCTTGGCATCTGAACATGGATATAAAGTCATCAATTGATTTCAATGGTAATGTTTTTCACACCTACTAATTATTATTTTTTTAATCATTATTTTTTTAAAAAAATATTTTTATTTAGGGGCTGGTGAGATGGCTCAGCAGTTAAGAACACTGGTTGTTCTTGCAGAAAACCTGGGTTCGAATCCCAGCACCCACATGGCAGCTAACAACTGTCTGTAACTCCAGGTCCAGGGGATCTGACAGCCTCTTATGTCCTCCATGGGCATTGCACAACACGGGTGCACTTATTTACACGCAGGCAATACACGCATACACATAAAATAGAAATAATATTAAAAAATATTTTTATTACTTTTTTTGTGTTTTTGGTCTTTTTCAGACATGGTCTCCCAGTAGCCCCAGCTGGCTTGGAACTCACTATGTAGACCAGGCTGGCCTCAAACTCACAGAAATCGGCCTGCCTCTGCCTCCAAAGTGTTGGGATTAAAGGTGTGTGCCACCACACCTGGCTTATTTATTACTTTTATGTGTAAGCCTGTATTGCCTGGATGTAGGTAGGTGCACCCATGCCATGCAATGCCAGTGGAGGTCAGAAGAGAGTGTCAGATTCCCTGGAACTGGAGCTACGTACAGTTGTTAGCCACCATGTAGGTGCTTGGAATTGAACCTGGGTTCTCCTCAAGAGCAGCCAGTGCTCTTAACGTCTGAGCCATCTCTCCAGCCCTGTTACTGCTTTTTAAAAAGTTAATTTATTCTTTATGTGTCTGAGTGTATTGCCTGTATGTAAGTGCATCCATATCATGCAATGCCTGTGGAAGTCAGAAGAGGACATTGGATCCCCTGGAACTGAAGCCATGAGCAGTTATTAGCCATCATGTGAGTTCTGGGAACTGAACCCAGATCCTCTGGAAGAGCAGTCAGTGCTCTTAACTACTGAGCCATCTCTCCAGCCCCCGATTTTTTTTTAATGGTGAAAAAAATATGTATTTAGAATTAGCCAGCTGGACTCAGTTTAGATGATCCCATTTTCTGTTGACTGCATCCATAGCAACATAATCAGGAACCAGTCAAACACAGGCCCTTTTATCTGCTGTCAGACCTGATCAGGGTATTGAGTTGGCCACATCAATGTTGTGGAGTTTCTTCATAGCCTGTTTGATCTGGTGCTTGTTGGCCTTGACATCCATAGTGAACACAAGTATGTTGTTTTCTCTCTTCTTCATGGTCAGTGGGAACTTGATGATGACATGGTGGTCAAGCTTATTTGTCCTGGGAGTGCTCTCATGAGGGTATTTGTGTTACTTTTGGAGCTGTAGGGTCCTGGGCCCCAGAAGGTGGGGTGCAGATATTCCTTTTGTGGCTGTGGACTCCTTTCAGCACTGCCTTTTGACTTTGGCTTTTTCTTTGGCTTTGGAAGAGGCAGAAGCTGAGAGAGAAGGAAAGAAAACCAGGGAGCAGCATTCAGAAACTGACCCCTACAGTGCCTGTCCACAGTGCATTAGTGCTTTACAGTTTTGTTTTGATCTACTTAAAAAATTAACTTTATTTCAATTTCCTTTAGCTTTTTAATTTTTTTCTGTTTATTTCTGTTTAAATTGTGTTATTTGTGTCATGCCTTGGTGGTAACATTTGCTTGTTTGTACACTTACTTGTTTTTTATGAGTTGTACAGGTTGGTTTTGAATCTCTGCAGTCAAGCAGTTCTTAGCCTCTAGAGAAGTTAGGATTACAGTGTAATTGTTTAATCTGACCTAGGTTTCAGACGTGGAGGAAGACTTGAACTTTTGAACAGAGGAAAACTGGAAGATTTCACGAAGTCATTTTGAAGAGTAGCCTAGAGATACTGCATTTTTCAAAATGTTCTTTGTTAGCATATATTATATATAATTTCATAATAATGGGTTTCATTATGAAAATTTTATACATGTATATAATGTTTTTTTATTGTATTTACTTTTATTGTATTACTTTCCTGGTTAACCAGGTTCAGGGGATACAGCCATAATGAAGGACATTTGGGGACACAAATTAGACCCTATAGTATACATTAAATTGGGCAGGGAGGGGGGATAACAAGTGAGGTGTGGATAGAGGAGGGGGATCTAAATACTATCAAATTATATTGTGTGAAAATAAAAATTCAATAAAAATATTAAAAAAAACCAAAAATTACAAGTCTCATCTTTTTTAGATTCCACATTTAAGTGAGATTATACAACATTTGCTTTTTCATGTTTGGCTAATTTCACTTTGTATAATGTCTTCTAGGTTCATCTGTGTTATTGCAGATGACAAGATTGCCTTTTTTTTTTTTTTTTTGGTCTTTTTGAGACAGGGTCTCTCTCTAGTCCCAGCTGTCCTGGAATTTACTATGTAGACCTGGCTGGCCTTGAATTCACAGAGATCCACCTGCCTCTGCCTCCCAAGTGCTGGGATTAAAGGCATGTGCCACCACGCCCAGCAAGATTGCCTTTTTTTAAGGCTAAATAGTTTTCTTCTGTATATCTATGCCACATTTTTTTGTATTCATTCAGTTATGAGCACAGAGTTCTTTTCCATGTCTTAGCTATTGTGAATAAGGCTTCGGTGAACACAGTTGTGTGGGTTCCTGGGGCACACTACTTCCCTTTCATTTGAATATATATGCAGAAGTGTAGGATTGGTGGATCATGTAGCAGATCAAATATTATTGTCTTCAGGACCTCCATATTCTTTTTCAAAATGTCTGTAGTGATTTATGTTAAAAGGAACAATTTACAAGGTTTCCCTCTTCTATCTTGACAACATTTATCATCTTTTTGAGTTTTTGAACTACTTTATTGTCAGATCAAGTCTCTTTATAATTTGCATTTCCATAATGATGGTGGTGTTGAGCATCTTTCCACACATCTGTTGGCTACTGATGTCTTCTGAGAAATACTATTCGGGTTTTTGCTCATTGTAATCCATTTATTTGTGGTTTTGCCATTGAGATTATTTCTTACTTATTTTGGATTTTAGTCTCCTATCAGATTTGCACATATTTTTCTTGTATTCCATAGATTTTTTTCCTCATTGCTATTTTCTTTACGTGCCTTTTAGTTTGATGTAATCCTATTAATTTTTCCTTTTGTTGCAGGTATAAATTTTCATTGGAAAGTTAAAAGCTTTTGTTGGAAGTTATATAACTCACCTGTGTTTGTTAACTGAAAACACTCATTTCCAAAGTTAAATAGTAGTATATGAAAATAATACTAAGGGATGATGTGTTTATATATGAGTACCTGTGGTGGTCTTTTATTTCGATTTGCTTTGTGACTAAGTAACTGTGTCTTTACTACAGCAACAGGCCTTCTGTTTTCAGTGAGCAATAAAACTCACACAGTTTTACTTAGTTTCTTGACTTTGTAGGAAATACAGTCTAGCAATTGTGTAGTTTACAGAGTCTACCCATGACTCATCTTCAAGTAGTGGCCTTTTTCAATTTATAGTTAAAGGTCAGTCTACTTTAGTCCTTAACCTTTCCATTCTAAGTGGGGAGTGAGAATGAAAAGGTGATAAGACGAAAAAGAGAAAAAAGGAAATTTGGAGTCCCTTTTCCTACTCATGTCATGTGTATATACATCTAAGCTGTTTTTTTATAGACATGCTAAGACTCTTATTTATACAAAAATAGTTTAAAAGTAATTAACGTGTGAAAATTTCTTAAAGATTGTGTTGAGTATAGGAGGAATAATTTCATGTTTGTTTGAAAAAATGTGGTGTTTATGTTTAGCCTTATTCCTTTAAATTTCACTTACACTGAAATGAGTGAATAACACCAAAAAGTAAAACCCTTTTAAGTTTTCAGTTACTTTTTATTACTGCCAGGCTGGTAAGGTTGATGGAAGAAAAGTAAGACTCTCTGACT